GTGCATTGCAACGGGAGAAAAAAACTCATAATCTCCAATGGCCGTGACCACATTTTGCTGCATCGTTGAGATGCACTATCACTCTCAATTTCGTGAAATCATGAACAATTTTTGAAATAATGAACCCTTTTTAAACTCATGCACGTATTTGAAACCATGAACATTTTTCAAATTCGCGAACACTTTTACAAATTTCGAACATTTTCCAAGAACATTTTTTGAATTCATGAACATTTTAGACTATTTGAAAACATTTTTTTAAAGTTGTGAATATATTTCTAAACAATTTTCTTGAATCGGCGAACATTTCTAGAATAGACGACATTTTTTTGGAATTCACGAACATTGTTTTTATTTAACAAACATTTTTTGGATTTAACGATCATTTTTAAATGCATGATCATTTTTTAAATCAGTGAACATTTTCTGAATGAATAAATTATTTTGCAAGTCACGAACAGTTTTTTAATTTTTAGGATATTTTTCCATTCATGAATAGTTTTTGAATTGACCATTTTTTCAATTTCATTAACATTTTTTAATACATGAACTTTAAAAAATCATGAACATTTTTTATTTCCCGAACATTTGTTTTCAAAATTTCAAACATTTTTTGAGTAAGCAATTTTTTTTACAAAATCATGAGCTTTTTTGAATTGAAAAATATTTTATAATTTATTAAAATATATTTATAAATTATCATTTTTAATTTAAGAAACTTTTTTGAAGTCCCTAATTAGTTAGAGGAAAAAAACAAAAATGGAAAAGAAAAGAAAAGAAAAGGCTGCCCAGACATGTGCCGGCCCAAACGGCGCGCTTCGTCTTGTCTCAGCACGCGGAGCGCATTATAGAATGTCCCTACTGCATGGGTCAGCCCAGACAGGGGATTCCCATGTGTAAAACATTTTTTGTCACTTATTGGTGACATTGGTAGGTAATATTTTACAACTTTGGGGGCAATTTTCGTGATATACTTCAAGAAGCAATATCCCCTTTATTATTAGGTATAGATAAGGATATAGGTATCTATTTTAGTATAGCACGGTAGGAGCCTCTTCTATTGTTTTAAGCTTTAGAAAACCCTGTCCTGGGAGCCCCATCGCCATCACATCTATGATTATACGTGTTTTGTCATGATAATCGTCATGAAAGTGTCACTTATATGACAGAAAAAGTTTTCAGTCGGATCATAATGTCACGTATGTGTCTTTTCTTTTGTAGTGTCCAAGATCGACGAACTATAATAGTGACCGTATCCACACCAACCATCTCATAACACCACAAGGACAACCACTAGAGTGTGAAAATAAGTGATTTGCTCTGGCTTAAATATAGACTCAATCATAATCTGTGAGACTACATCACTCTTCTTGCCATTTCTTTGTGTGCCTTGTTTCTTTCTTTTGGTCCCATGTGCCTTTCTTTGTATTCTAACCTATATTTTCTGATCTTTCTTTTGTAGCTCTCCTTATGTCCTTGGGGTGTCTCCCCTCATGGGTTATATATAACCATATCTATTTATATATAGCACGGTAGGAGCCTTTCCTATTGTTTTAAGGTTTAAAAAACATGTCCCGAGAGCCCCATCACCGCCACTCACCAGGCGACCGCTCCTCAGCCACGCAGCCTCCTCACCCATTGCATCCCAAATTCACTATCCGTGGGAGACCGCCGTGAGACGCCTGGCCAGCCGCACCGCTGAGCCGCCGCCAACGCCCCTCCAACGGCCACCGAGCCCTGCCGCCGATCGCACTTCCTCCTCCGAGGCCTGAAACCCTGCGATCGTCTACGAGCAGCCAAGGGAGAACGACCCAGGGGAGAGTGCACCGTTGTCGCCGTCATTGGAGCCCGCACGTAGATCAATGCCGTGTTCAAGTTTATTTATTGGATATACATTAAACCTGTCCCGGGAGCCCCATCGTCGCCGCTCACCCAGTGACCGCTCGTTATCCACGCGACCTCACATTTTGCCACACCAGATCCGCCATCCATGGGAGGTCGCCGTGAGACACTTGGCTAGCTACGCCCCTTCCAACGGCCGCTGAGCCCCGCCGCCAACCGCACTCCCTCCTCCAAGGCCTGAAGCCCTGTGACTGTCCACCAGCAGCCGAGAGAGGATGACCCAGGGGAGAATGCACCGCCGCCGTCGTCACTGGAGCCCGCACATATATAGCAGATCGATGCCGTGTTCAGGTTTATTGGATTGACATTAAACGTGTTGACGTTACGATGCCGGTGGATGGGTGATGCTTGAAACATACTACTTCCGTCCAGGTTTATTGGTCTTCTTTGTAATTTGTGCTAAATTTTGATCAATGATTTAACTAACAAAATGCTAATGCATGTCAACAAAAATTACATGGTTGGATTCGTATTTGAACATAGTTCTGAATGACATAATTTTTTGTGACATGCACGAGCATTTTATTAGTTAAATTTATAATCAAAATTTGATACAAAATACAATGATGACTAATAAACCAGGACGGAGGTAGCGGAGAGAAAGACACTAAGACAAGCGCATGACATAGTGCGCCTAACTGCCCATCAACGCTCAACAAGCAAGTGGTTCGTCCATTAACTTCATCTAGTCTAGGGGTTTTAGTTAGCTGCATCGGTGCATGCCGCGGCTTTCGAGCGGCACGTAAAAGCGGGCTTTATTGCTTCCAAATCCGTCGATGGAGGCATGCCATTCCCGGGCATGAGATGTGAGACGAGAGCTAGCAACAACTCGCAAGCTAGCATGGATTGTTCTTTTCTTGCAGCCAGTTAGCACATGCCCGGTGCCTTGTGCAAACTGGAAAACCCTCGAGGGGGCAGAAAAGCTACGGCTGAGCGTTTCCCCACGTGGGTGCCTGGGTGTAGTACTATGTAGTACCTAGCCGAAAGAAAAGCTAGTGTGAGATTGGACAAATGATTTGGAGAATCTATGGAGGCTACTAGCTTGGAAGTACAAGCAAGCTGGTCATGCAGAGATATATGCACCACTTACTTTTGGGAGTCATGTGTGAATGATCCAAGGACAAAGTGGTACGCGTTGCTTATCTTTCTTGCTTCCTTTTCTTCCTTTCCTTTTGGAGATAAAAGGCATGGCGAGATAAACGGAATCTGCTCTCCCTAGCTTGTATGGTGTTGCTACTATATTTCTTTCTTCTTTTGCTTTTTGAGAAGACGTATAGCATATATTATTGGAGTAGTGTTTCAGTACATATAGTTATATACAACTCCTCATACAGTCATACTCATATATAATACTAGCATGTTGTTGTACGGAAATTGGCTTTGGCTCATAGGTGTATATGTGCCCATTGTCCAAATACACATTTTGAAATGTTAAAAAATTATGAGAAAAAATTCCGTGTGTGAATCCGGACTTTATATGTGCGTACACAAAGTTCCGGTGAAAAAGGACATTTTTTGCGGCTTGTGTAAAAACGATAATTTTTTATGCCTGGTTACAACTATTCACGGGGCATTTTTTTTGTCTTTTTTGTACATGCCACAAAAAATGTCTTTTTCAATGAAAATTTGTGCACGCACATATAATGTCCCGATGCACTCGCGGAATTTTGTCTTGATTTTTATATTTTGAAATGTGTTTTTTACATATATTTCATAATTTGTACTGGTACTATATTTCTTTCTTCTTTTGCTTTTTGAGAAGACCTGCAGCATATAAGTTATATACAATTCCTCATACTATATATAATACCAACATGTTGTTGTATTGCTACCAGTTCGTCTAAACCAACTTCTAGTTTAGAGACTTAGGGTCATCTTTTTTGCAGATCCTTGAGCGAATCAGCTAGTTATTCTCTGTGAAATTCGGTTCTCCACACGGGACATTAGCATGTTCATGTTGGACCTCCTCCCTTGCGCAACGGTGACCAATTCGAATAGCTCGAACTAGATGCATATTTATCGCTTCAGAGAAAGTACGTAAGCAATCACGTGAAAAGGCCAGAGACTTGAAATTAAGACGTTGGGACTTTGGAGGATAATTGTAGCACATAAATATGAGTGCACAAAGGTTTCAATACCAATCATTTGTGCGCTTGTACATTTGCATCCTGATAAGTAACATTACACATCAGGCGCGGAATACTCCATCCCTTTAACCTCTCGGAGAACAAGTCCGTATGAGGAAAAAAATGAACACCTGACCCAAAAAGTAAAAAAAAAGAAAGAAAAAGAAACGAAAAGAACTTTAATCACTGTTCTATAAAATAGTGACTTTTCGAGTTAGAATAAACTAATTAACTCTAGTTTTTTCTCCATATAAGTGACGCATCTAACTCAACACCACCATGCCGACCATAAATCGTATATGCACGTGACCCTTTTCCAACATAGAATATAAATCATTGCATCTTCCAAATGTCCTCCAAACTCCAAAAATTCTCAGCGAGGCTGTCGGACTCGGAGAACCCTTGTACCCATCCAGACAACTCCGAGTCTTGAAGCTGGAAATTCTGGTTTGTCTCAGGCCAAAACCCTTGATTCTGCTCTTGAACCCAATCCCCACTATGTATCATCTCTCCCACGCTCGCATTTGCACAGCGTGCACCATCATATGACTCCGATGCAAACGAGTCGGACGACGATGTCACCATGCCGGAGCTCTCCATGTAGGCCGTTGGTGGCCCAGGCACAAGATGATCACCTACTGTAGATGCTTGCTGAAGGTGGTGGTCAGCAAGGCGAGGCATCCATAGATACTTCATGGCATCCTTGAACTTGGTGCTGTTAGCATCACAGTTGAGCTGCTTGGCGTGCTTTTGCACCCTTGTCCTCCAGTAGTTTTTGATCTCATTGTCGGTCCTCCCAGGAAGGTGTTGAGCTATCTTGGACCACCTTTCATGTGCAAGAATCAAAGGAACAAATGCAATTAGGGAAATATTTATGGTGCATGAAGAAAACTAATTAATTGCAACATCTTTTCGTGAGGAAAAGGAAAACAAATTTTCGACATTAATTAGCAAAAGACACCTTTGTAAGTGGAACCTAATTAGTAAGTTAAATTTTCGGCAACTCTCGTTGGAGTGTGTGTGGGTGTGGAGAAAATGAACTATAATTAATTTATCCACTCTATAATGAATTAGAAATAAATACTCCCTCCTAAAGAAATATAAAGAAATAACTAGTTTGAATAAAAACATGAAATCTAACGAAGCAATAATTAGAGACAGCTAGATTGGTAGTACTCTCCAAATCTTTGGAGAAGAGAACGATAGAAGAGGCGTGCAGCTTTGATGCACCGTATGTGAGGTGAAAGAGAAAGGCATAGGCATATGGTGCATGTGGCCATGCTGCAACCCATATGCATCCTATTCCCGTTTAGGTAGCCAGACTTGTACAATCTGAAGTGTGCCATCCGATGGAGCTAGCTGGAGGCTTTCAATTTGATTTGACGTGCAAGCTAGTCCACATCTAGCTAGCTAGCTAGCTAGGTTGGACTTGGAGCTAGCTGGCTGTACTGGCCGGTAACTACTGTATGCACGGTGTGCATGACATGCGACGTTTGATTATTGGTAATTACCTGTTACCCCAGCGGGAGTGGAGGTCGAGGATGAGAAGCTGCTCGTCGGCGGTGAAGTTGCCGCGCTTCACGTCCGGCCGGAGGTAGTTCAGCCACCGCAGCCGGCAGCTCTTCCCCGTCCGCTTAAGCCCTGCACCAGCACGCATGGATCCACGGTCAGTTCCTACTTCAGAGTAGGCTCAAATCAAGAATCAATTGAAAAGACAATCTGCATGGCCGGAGGCCGGCTGCAGGCGGACATACCGGCGGCGCGGGCGAGGGAGTTCCAGCGGTCATCGCCGTGGTCGGCGATGTAGTTGACGAGTGTGAGGTCCTCCTCCACGGTCCACGGGCCGCGCCGGATCTCCTCGGCGGTCTCCTCCTCGTGGTGCAGCAGGTCGTCGTCGAGCTTTACCACGGAGCACGGCATGGTCGCGCCGCTGCTCCGCTGCGTGGACGACGATGACCATGACGCCATGTTCTCTCTTCCTTTTTCTAGTTCTAGAGAAAGAGAGGGGCGGAGACTAAGCCAGTTTATGAAGCTTGAAAAATTGGAGAGTTGGATTAATGAGAGAGGGAGATGTCAAGTAGTGAAGTCGTTTTATAGTGTTTGCGAGGGAAGAGGAAGTAGAAAAGTGAGCGCGAGGGAGAGAAAGAATGCGCACGTGGTGAAATGCGAGGGAGAGAGGACGGGTGGCGCAAGGCATCCCTCTCCGCGCGTGCGCGTGTACGTATTTTCACAACTACAAGAGCACCGTACAATTGAGGCCATGGGTCGGCGCTCGGAGATGGATGATATGGACCGCATTATTGAGGCGGCGCGCGTACGTAAAAGATGGCATGTATTTGTATTTTTTTAGAACACTAAAAAAACATCAAAGGTAAAAAACACATCCAGATTTGCATACCATCTAACGATGACTGCAAGCACTTGAGCAAGACGAAGGCGCGGCACCGTCATCATCATCTCCTCATCGAAGCCGTGCAAATTTTATTACAGTAAACATTTGGGAAGCGTCGCGCTAAAATCACATGCGACCAACGCACCTGAACAGCAACTGCGACGATAAGGAGACGCATAGATCGAAAGGGTGCAATATGTAAACAGACAAATAAAGACGAACGAAAACTGGATCCACATAGATCCATCAAAGACAAATTTCGCTCGTAATTCCGTAAAATTCGCCGAAGGACAAACCTCCACACATCCTCCTATAATGATAGAAGCATCACCAGGATGAAAGCTAGGCAGGGAGAATCTTTTCATCTTCAGAAAGTAAAAGATGATTTACATTTCTATTCGTTAGATATTGGTAAGCATACATTAAATAGAGTCGTTCGTAGACGCAGTGACAATTGAGAAGCATCACCACTCCTCGGAGGGTTGAATGCCGTGGAACGACCAGCTGCCTGGAATCATCCATCCAATAAATCCTAAAATGCTCACGAATAAGGACATGGAAGAATTTGATGCGAGCCTTCAATCGGCCGCTATGTGCGGAATTCTGCAATTCGCTACTAGGTCACCAGGATGCACTCTTTGAGCTAAACCCATACAAAATGGGCATTTATTAGTGGAAACTTGTGATAATAAGATAGAATTTTCTTAGTGGAAACTTATCACCACCCTGCACATCATTTATAAGTGGAATTTTGAGCTTCGCTATCACATCATCAGTGGAAACTTGCGCCTATAAGTCACTTTCAATTCGATAATCCAGAGAAGTGTTTTCATAATTATCTCTGATTCTACTTCGTTTTCTTGTTTAGATTTATTTTGTTCTTCTAATCTTAATTCATGCTATCACTCGGAATTTAAGGAGCACATTGTCAGCACACATCTGACATGCAGTTCCCACCTGGAAGCGTTAGAGTGGCCTCACGGGACGCTCGGCTCACCCGTCAGCGACGACTGAACCCAAGGGTCCAAGGGCTCGAATGGGTGTGAGCTGGTGCGGTGGCATCACCTACTTAGCCCCACATGAAAGATGGTGAAGTCATCCAGTGAATCACGGCGTTAGCATTTGGCTAGGCGGCTCTATGTTCTTCCGGTTCCTCTTTCCCAATTCGTCTCTATCCCCTAATTGTGATAGCCACTAAGACTCGAATCCCTCCTAGATCTTAATAGATCGAGAGAGAGATATTGCTAGGCTGCTAACATCTAATATACAACGCCTTCAGTTCTTGCACGCTGGTGAATTTCATTGAGACCAGCCACCTGCATCATGTGAGGAATCAGATCGAAGCCATGGATCCATCATTCAAGGACTACCTCAACAAGCTCTCTCCGTCTCTCGACGAGACACGCTCCAATGTGCGCACCAACATGGCAGCGGTCAAGTCGCAGACCGCCAAGCTCGATGATCTGGTCAAGTGGCGGTCGGATCTATAGTAGTGCGTGGATCGCCGAGCTCCAACAATGGCGGCGGGTGGCGTTTAGAGAAGGGTTGTCGTCTGGGGCCGGTGTATCAGCACCACCAGTGTCTCTTTGGGGCCACATCGGCACCAGTGCAAACGCAGCGGGCAACCTTCTTGGGTCTACGCACCACGGCGTTGACACACAACCACTAGGATTGGCACTGGTACAATGTCATTTCGCTCAGCAATCCTCTGCTCCGCACACTTCTCCTTTTGCACATGCTAGTCAAATACAAGTCGGGATTGGGCAAGTACACCCCTTCATCGGATTTCCACAATTTCAGCTGAAAATCCTCGCCTTTCAAAATCCTTGTGCGAGCAATGTTTTGAGATGTTTGGGATTCAGGGCAAAAGTTGAGTCCCATGGCTTCTCCAAATTTTTCTAGGTCACCACCGTGTGGCTCCAATTGGTTCTAAAGAAATTGTCTGAATTCAATTGGTAGTCATTTGCTACTTTACATAGCACATGGTTGGGGCGTGATCGCCATCAGCTACTAATCCACTCGTTTTACACAATTTCTTTCATAAAAATCTTCTGTGGCCGATTACATTGAGCTATTCGAGTTGGTTATTAATACATTTTTTGCTTATTTCGAGACTATCCATCCTTAATTATTACTTCTTACTTGATACTATGTGGAGAGCGGGCTTTTAAATAGCGGATAGCGGACTGGTTGCGGATTAGGGTCCGCGTAGCAGAATGCGGATAGCGGGCGATATTGCGGGCGCTATGTCCACATAGCCAATTTTCAAAAAAACACTCATAAATTTGAGATTGTTGCATATATTTCTAGGCCATTGACAAAAAATATGACACTTAATTTGAGAAATCATCATTTATATAAGAATATAAACTATAATTGAACAATATTTGGTCAGGCAACCATGCAAGAAAGACACATTTACCAAAATAGATTACACAAGAGAATAACAAGGACTTATATAGCAGGCGATATTGCGGATAGCGGATGATATAGCGGTCTAACAAGTGATATTGCGCCCGCATCATGACAGCTCGCTATTTTCTAACGCAACCTTTTAACTAATAGCGGCAGGGTGACGCTACCGCTATTGCGGCCGCAATAGCGGAGGTAGCAGACGCTATTTAAAAGCTCTGGAGAGACTTCGCACCAACATCCGTGCCATGGTGCCGATGCAACTATACTCGACCTCGACATGGCGCGTGCTCTAGCACTACTTCAAGAGGAAGTGGTGGACGACATAGCCTTCAAGCAAAAGCTTCCGCCTCCTGGTCGCGTGGCGGGACGAGTGAACCATGTGGGCATGCCCATGGGCTTCCTACCACCACCACCACCACTGGGCCCCACCTTTGCCAGTTGCGGCTACCGATCATCGTGGCATCGAGGAGGCCCACGCTGCGGCCCCAAGCTCAAGGCCTTACGCTTAAAGTGTGGCAAACATTGGGCTCACGAAAACACCTACCCTAATAGTGTACAACTTTTCCAAAAAAATAGTGTACAACTGTTGTCGTGGATGAGCTCCTGCAGTTGTTCGGCATCGACAATGTCTTCCGTCAACAAGTGCCATCGGCTCTCGAGGAAACAGAAAAAGAAAAATAAAACAAAAGAGAAAATAAAATAAAAGCCAAGCTAGCCAGCTACGCCAACCCCAGCCCAGCTAGCCAGCCCAGCAACGCACGCCTGCGTAGCCCGGCTCCATGCCACAATGTTCCCTCTTCCACTGACCAACGGACCCTGCTCGTCAGCTTCACCCCTCACCTCCCGCGACTGCTCGCGCCCATGTCACCTACGATCTCGAGCACGACTACGCCCACATTCGCATGTCCACGCGCTCCGGCCACTCCCTGACCCCCGTGGCCATGCCCTATAGATCCCCTTGCCTCCCTAGACTTTTTTCCCCATTCAATCGAGGCTGAGCGTCGCCAGGCTGCTCGCAACCAACCCCCACCACCCGTTCTGCCCTAGCTCGCTCCAGGGAAGTTTCCAGCCACCCCAGCCTCTGCCTCGACCGACCACTGCCACCACAAGAACCACTGCACGCCAGCGAACCCCGTGGACATCTTCCGCATGGACGAAGCCCTCTAGAAGCTCAAACACAACGACAACCGAAGCTCAGCCCCGCCACAATCTTAACTCCGGTGACCACCATAAGCATTTGACCACGTGACCTTGTCCATCGTCTTCATCTTGATCGCCCGTCCCTGACCCATTCATTCGTCCAGGAGCGCTCAACTTGTATCACTAAATCAACAATCGGTACCTCTGTCGTGGCAGCGAACTCCGGTGAGCCCATTGACGCCTTCTCCGTTGTCCCCAACCATCGCCGAGGCCACCATCGACCTCGTTGTCGTCTCCCGTACCCATCTGAGCCCTCTGCCACCGCGGAGATCCCCTGCATCACTGATACGTCTCCATCGTATCTACTTTTCCAAACTCTTTTGCCCTTGTTTTGGACTCTAATTTGCATGATTTGAATGGAACTAATCCGGTATGACGTTGTTTTCAGCAAAATTGCCTTGGTGTTATTTTTGTGCAGAAATAAACGTTCTCGGAATGACCTGAAACTTCACGGAGAATATTTTTGGTATTAATAAAAAATATTAATGAAAGAATCAACTAGAGGGGACCCACCGGCTATCCACAAGGGTGGAGGGCTCCCCCTAGGGCACCCCCTTCCTTGTGGGTCCCCTAGACCTCCACCGACCTCAACTCCAACTCCATATATTCACGTTCGGGGAGAAAAAAACCAGAAAGAAGGATTCATCACGTTTTACAATACGGAGCCGCCGTCACCCTCGTTCTTCATTGGGAGGCTAGATCTGGAGTCTGTCCGGGGCTCCAGAGAGGGGAAATCATCGCCATCATCATCACCAACCTTCCTCCATCACCAATTTCATGATGCCCATCGTCGTGCGTGAGTAATGCCTTCGTAGGCTTGATGGACGGTGATGGGTTGGATGATATTTATCATGTAATCGAGTTAGTTTTGTTAGGGTTTGATCCCTAGTATCCACTATGTTCTGAGATTGATGTTGCTATGACTTTGCTATGCTTAATTCTTGTCACTAAGGCCCGAGTG